GATTTGACCCAGAAGAGTAAGTTCTTGTCCCCAGCTCCTCCCTTGTCTCTCTGCTTCCTGGCCACCATGATGTGAGCATCTTTCCTCCCCCACCCCCATACACCATGATGTTCCTGGCTTGGAGCAGCCAACCACGGACTGAACCCCCTGAGACCATTGGAGTAGCCGACCATGGACTGAACTCCCTGAGACCATTGGAGCAGCTGACCATAGACTGAACTCTCTGAGACCATTGGAGCAGGGGACCATGGAATGAACTCTGAGACCACTGAAACAGCCAACCAGGGATGGAGCCCTCTTTAAATACTCACCCCAAACAATTTTCTCCTCCTTTGCATTATGGTTGTCAGGATTTGTGTCTTAACAACAGAAAAGTGACTAACAACCAACTTTCTGCATCGAGGAAGCAGGTGGGGTATCTTGCACTATGCAGGATCTGAAACTAGTCCTAAAGGGTGAAGCATCAGGTCAAAGCAGAAGCAAATTATACACTTGTAAAAATCCAACCACTATCACTACTGGATCAGAGGTGGGGGAGTTCACCATATCACTTGAAAAGCAAAGAAAAAACTGAAATTCATTGAATGGGCAAATGGCACCACCACCATCCCTACAACCACTGATCATGATGTGTCCACCTGAATGGGCTAAGAAACTCATACCAGATAAATGAAGCACCATTCTGAGTGCTGCTGTTGATGATTGACAGGCAGGCCAGCAAATGAGTAGGAAAGTCCTGCCCTCATGGGCAGCACCAACCAATAGGATTGCAGCATGAATGAAATGAAAAGGGAAAGAAAGAAGTGAGTCTGTCTGGCAGAGTTCCAGTCTTCCTAAGCAGGTCCATCCATTGCTGTCATCTCCATTACAATCATGTTCTTCAGGCTCCAAAATAGATGCATATTAGCAACTCCCCTGGGAGCTTCCAGGCTTTTAACCTTGGACTGGGGGTGCAACCTTGGAACCTCTTATTCTGTGGCTTCTGTCTTCCTGGACTGAGTGGCTACTGAACCCACAAGCCCTCCAGGAGACTTTTCTGCCTCTGCTCCTGCAACCCTAGCTACTACTATTGTTGGGGCAACAGAGAAGACACAAGAGAAAGGTGACCATGCCTCAGTCTGATGTGTCCAGGATGGGGTGTTCCTGGTATGCTTCCTGGCACCACATTAGAAAACCATGAAATGAAATTAGTGATGAACATAAAAGTCATAAAAATCCCAAGCAAGGTCTAAAAGGGGAAGCTCAATGTGTGAGACCCTAGGACTGATGCCCAAGCTCAAATGAAAAAAGAAAAGAGAAAGAAAGAAAGAGAGAAAGACAGAGAGAAAGAGAATGAATCTCTCAGCTGATTTCCATAGTGATTGTGCTAATTCAACATTCCCACCAGTAACACCACAGAGTTCTTTTTTCCACATAGCCTTGCCAGCTTTTGTTTTTTGTTTTGCTTTTGTTTTTTGTTTTTTGGCATTGTAGTCGTCATTCCAACTAAGATGAGATGATATCTCACTGTATCTTTCCTTGGTATTTGATGGTGCATCATACATATGATTGGTAGACATTTGCATTTCTTCTTTTATCCTAGCTACAACCAATATCCAGGTATGTTAAGAAGTTAGGGATCTAAATTGATAGGAAAAAATCTGCTGCTATTAAAGCCACCAGTACTTCCTCAACTATTACATATTTCAATATCAATTCTAATCTGGCAGAGATTCAAGCCATACACCTGGCCTCCAGTGAAAAGGGTAGTAGATGACTTTTCCCTAAAGTGTCAAGTAGCAGGCTCTGTAGCTAAATCCACTACACCACTTCTGTCTCAAGGTACGATCTCCTTGTGACTCATTGTTGGGATGAATTCCAAAGAGAGCTTCCCCAAACCTTTGCATCCAGGAAGAGGACAGATTTGTAGGCAGCTAAACTATCAATCTCTCCTAAACACCAGTGGATGACATTGCACGCCAAGTGCTGCAGGTGTTTATAAAGTGACTTTCTGTGGTCTGTTATGGTAGTCGGTCCCCCTGGATTGACATTCTCTAGTCTCAGTGAGATCAAGAGCTTGGAGTTCTAAAGTGAAAATCTTCCTTTCTCTCTCAATCTCTATGAGAAGCACCAGTTTTTAAGTTGTTTCTTTGGGTTCAAATTTTTATATGAAATATATACTTCAGCAGAGAAAGACTGTAGATGTTTTACATGGTGATTTCTCTATGTGTATACATATAGCATCAGCCTGTGGAATACCATAAATTCGTGTGTGTGGAGTAGATACATGTGCACTTCTAATTTGATTATCTTAGAGTAGATGTCTAAACAGAGGTATTTTTTTTAAGGAAGTAATTACTTAGTTGAAGGAGGAATTCAAACTCATGTCCTCCAGGAGTGGTTGATGAGAAATAGTCATCTTTACCAGATTGGCACCCTGGCTGAGAATTCATAACCTGAAACTCACCATACAAAGATTGTAAAAATGAACAATCTAACCCCTACCTCTCCCACTTCCAATTCCCCTTTGGACCTTTTAAGGGAAAGGAATGAATAGGAGAAAAGGAAAAAATGGAAACAAAATCTTTGTAACTAGGGAAGGGTGGAGGGGTGAAGGGAGAGCAGAGGAATGGGGAAAAAATAAGAACCAAGATACATCATGTACAGGTACAAGTACCCAATGATGAATGTAACTGTATTGTGCACCTCAAATGTAACAATAAAATAAATGAATGCTGAAAAGAAAAAAAAGAGCAACCTAACAACAAACCAACAAAAATGGAGAGAAATGGCCACAGTGTTATTTGCATTAGCACAAAAAGTAGAAACTATTTGGAGATATTATTATACAAAAGATACAAGAGACAGGGGTTAAAACAGATAAAAATTGTTACCCACATTCTCCATCAAAATATTAACAAAACAAACTGCAAAACACTGATGTGAAATGATAACAAGAATATAAAAACTGAGTAGTGCTCTTAGTGTCAACAGTAGAAGAAAGTAGCCGAGCACAAGTTTTCTTGCACGGAAAAATAGCAAGATAGAAGATGACAGGAATTGAGGCTGTGAGGTTCTTATCATTCTTATTTCTTTTTCTGATGCATGGTTTTTCCAATCACCTGCAATTTCAAAAAAACATGTGAAGGTTTCAAATCAGAAATGTGAATTTCTGTTCATGTTCCCTCTTGTGCATTTTTGCTGGTGATTGTAAATTCATAGGACACTCATTTTCCACCAAAGAACTGAACTACATAGAAACTCTATGTCCGACAACCAAGATTGCTTCTCTAAGGTGATATCTGAATCAGGTGTTGAGATGGGAAAGGCTTGTTGCATCATGGGTTCTATTCTTTTGAACATTAAGTATAAAATATTTAAGAAAATAAATAAATGCATAAGCAGGTAACTTCAGGAAGTGAAAGATCTTCCAAGGGAATTACAAGTGAGAAGAGTTAGATTGTAGGAGATCTAATTCAGCTAGGTATGAAAGCCTGAAAAATGTTGCACATACATTTGCCTGGAAGATGGGGTGAAGATCAACTCTTAAAAACAAGAGAAAAAAAAAAAGATCAGCCTCCTTGAGTATCCATGATGATTTGAATCTAAGACATTGCATGAATATCAAAATCTACAGATGTTATGGTTCCTTGTGTAAGATGATGTAGCATTGAATATAGCTCTACACACCCTGCCATATACATATTAAACTCTTTCTAGATGATTTTCTATACCTAATACAGTGAAAATTCTAACAAATAAAATACCTTGTGTATAGTGTTTAGGGAATATCCACAATAAGGAAGTCAGTACATGTTTAATACTAGTGTCAATTTTTTTTTCAAATATTTTTATTTGTGTTTCCTTGAACCCATGGATATGGCAAATGTCCTAGTTATTTTTGTCACTGTGACACAATACTTGAAACACATAGCTTAAAGAAGGAGAGGTTTATTTTGGCTCACAGTTTGTAGAGGTTTCAGTCCATAGTCAAATAGCTCCAAGGCAGGAGGTCATGGCAGAGGCAAATGGCAGAGGAGAAACAGTCCATGGCAGGGCAGGTAGGAACCAGAGAGGAATCAAGGGAGAAGGAGGAAAACACTCTCTTCCAAGCTACATCCCCAGTGACCCACTTCCTCCAGCCAGGCTTCCCTTTTCAAATCACATTTAGCTACACTCATCAGTGGACTACTCCATTCATGAGTATCACACCCCAGGGATCCAATCACCCCCTAAAATCACCACCTAGGAGTACATGAGGTTTTGGGGGGAATTTATAGATACAAACCATAACTGTCTATATTCGAAAGCAGCCACACCAGTACAAAGGCTGTGTGGAGTAGCTAAGCCAGTCAGGGTCTGAAATAAGAAATAGCATGAGTCTTGCTGTTCTGAGAAACAGAGACAAAGGTAAGGGGTGATTTGGATTTAAAACCATGAAGTCAATCACATAGGATCAAATCAGTCATGTTTCACTCTTTGGGTCTGTTATAATACCTGAAAAAATTGTACCCTAAACATTCATTGTCTTATTTACATTTACTGGGACAAAACACTTGACACCCACGACTTAAAGGAAAAAAAGCTAATTTGGGCTCTCTGCTTCAGTCCAAAGTCAACTGGCTCCAAAGCAAGAATGTCATGGCAGAAAGATGATCAACTCATGGCAACCAGGAAGCAGAGAGAAAAAGGAAAAGTGAAGAAAAGACTACACCTTTCCAGGTCACACTCCTGTGACCCACATCCAACTGGGTCCTACCTGCTAACAGCACATTGAGTTATGAACTCATCCATGGATGAAACCACTGATTAGTATAGTACCCCCATGATCAAATCACCTTCCACACACATGAAACTTTGCAGGGATGGTTTAGATCTAAGCCATAGCACTTGTGTACTGAGGGCTTTCTCTTCAGTAAAACAGAGTTCAGAGGTGGGGCTTACAGAGATGATTGGACCCCAGCGGTGCTGACCTCATAATTCTCTATTGATGATTTCATACTTGGATGGACTTATGGGAGGTGGAGGCCTAGTTGAATGTAGTGGGTCATAGTGTCATGACTGTGGAGACTATATCTTGTCCCTGACCTCTTTCTCTCCTGTTTCCTTGCTCTCTGCTTCCTGGCTGACATGAGGTGAGCAGCTTTTTTCCACCATGAACATCCACCATGATCTTTCTGTCACCCAGCCATGGACTGAACCCTCTGAAAAGGTAAGCCAAGTTAAACTCTTCCTTATTTAAGATGTTTTTTCTCAAGTATTTTGTCACAGTGCTGGAACTCCAATATGGTGGCTTATCATAAAAGAAATGACAACCCATTTTTGGACTTCCAACTGAGAAAATAATATGACAAAACTTTCTACCTCCTCAAATATGGAGAGGTGATATTCATTTCTCACTACAGGACAATAGTATTTGTCATACTAATATATCATGCTTCATTTTCATCTTCATTGTCCATAAAAGAGATCCCGCTCATATCACAAATATGTTTTTCTAGGTGGAAACTAAAGTCTGTTGCTTAAAACACATTTTGACTATTTTTTTTACAAAATAGACAATTTTAATGAAAAATTGTAATACAAAATAATATTACTAAGTGCAACACACATCAAGCTTTGTCATGAAATGATCTATATTTTGATTTCAGATCGAAAGGTCCACCAGGGTGTACATAAATATAATGATTAGTTTTAAAATTGTTTCAACCTGGCACTGGAGGTGAGCTCCTATACTTCCAACATTCAAAAGGCTGAGGCAGGAGAATCAATGTGAGTTTGAGGCCAGCCTGAGTTTGGTTACACAGTAAGTTCAAGGCCAGCCTGGTCTCCCCTGTCTGAAAAAACACTTGGATATTCAGGAAAAACGGCTTCATGGCACATTTTCAGAAATGTGAATACCTCAAAGTAGTTGTCTACCATGCCATCCTTAAATACCAGAGGTACAGAACTAGCTGTGTTAGTTTATCTGATAAATCTATCTCCAAGGAGAATGGACACCGCATCATAATATTTTACCCTCAAGTGACGGCTGAAGATACTACGCACATACTTATGACCCCTCCCCTTCCCCCTGCAGGGCGCCTACTTCACAATATGTTATTCACTAGAGAATCTCTATACACAGAGGAATTACTGTGTTTCATGGGGAGGAACAAAAATTATTTCTCAAGAAAAATTAAGAAACATGACGTTATAACAAGTGTATGGCAATGATTGCCCAGAAATCATTCAGTATGCAGGCATTCTTTGTGGGTCTTGCCAGCTACCTATTGTATAATATTATATAATATTTGTATAATATTGGATTTGTGCATTAACTCTAATTTCCAGAGAAACCTGAGTACAATTTGGAAAAATAAGGCAAGATTTCATGGCAGAAAATAAGTCTGATGGAAAACTCAGAACTTTTACACATGTAGTTTAGAAATAATAGAAAATTATTTGAGCTTCCATTTTCCACCCTCCTTGCAATGAGACCTGATGAAAACTATTTCTAAAGATCAGAAATAAAAACATAATCTTAATTAATATCGAATAGTCTATCTTTGTAAGTTAATTCACATGAAGTACTCATTATTTAAATAGAAAATTACAATGTGTCTTTACCAATTCACATTCATGGGAAGTTTGTAAATATTTTGTAAATGGGAAATCAAATCTATACTATTTTAAAAGGTAAAGGTATAGCATGTAATCACACTTTTGAATATTCATAAGAAATTTTCATTGTAATAATGGGGAAAAATCTCTTCTCTGTAATTATACGTTTACTCGGAGTACTAGAAATATAAATTTCTGGTGATTTCAATCTCTTTTCTCCTCTATGTGAAGTGTACATAACTTCTAAAATAATGAGAGATCTGTCTTATTTAAGCTTCTATATTACATGTGCTAATTAACTAAAATTTAAAAATAAACTTCTATATTCCTTCTTGTGATAGAACTTTTGAAAAATTAAATTGCTAACATATACAGACAAGTCTATTTTCATTCCTTCAATAAATGAAATTGTGAGTACACTATTGGCCAGAAAGCATAGTAACTATTTATGCTATGTATTTAATTAAAAGGACAAGAACATTTTCTGAATAATGTTCTTTTTTTAAGTTCCAAACTACTAAAAATAGCAGTCTTTAAGCATACACATTATCTTCCTGTATTTTATGCTTTAGGTACAGAAGTGATTATTTTATTTATTTAATTTATTAGTCCATGTATGAAGTACATATGATTACAATTATCCTGGGGAGTTAGTTCATGTACTTGACTCATTTTATTTTTTTTCCTCCTTTATTTTATTTTTCATTCCCTACCATTCACATGTTTTTGGCTCCTTCCAACTTTGGGTACCCATCCTATTTGCAAAATCTCTAGTTTCCTCGTATTTTCTCTTCAATTCCTTTTTTGCATCCCCTTTTCCTCCTTATCCTAGTACCTCTTTCCATCTCTTCCTCCCTCATCCATTTGCAAAAGATCTGTCCATTTCCTCTTTATCTAACTCCTATTCTCCTTTTTATACATAACAAGCTACAAAGGGGATCACATCAAATTAAAAAGCTTCTATACAGCAAAGGAAACAATCAAAGGACTGAAGAGATAATCTACAGAATAGGAAAATTTTTTCCAACTCTCCCATGGACAGAACATTAATATCTAGAATATATAAAATGTCAACAAACATTTGACCCTCCAAATAGAAGTGATCATATTAAATCTCATCTATCTAATAATAACATACAATATGAGCTTCCAATTTCTTGGGAAATATAACCAACGCTACCCACAGTAATACTGAAGGAATTCAGACAAAGATTTGCAATTCTTCTGCAAGTACTGTAAGTATTGTAAATTTATCAGTGGAAAGGGAGAATATTAACAAGAAGTACAAAACATCTTATTCATGAGAGAATACCAAACAAACTGAGACTTAGCAGCAAAAGACAGTTATTGGATACTTGAGAAATGGAATAAATGAGAAATGTTCACACAATAAAGGTGCAGATCAGGAGGAGAAGGAGGAGAGAGGAGGGGGAATTAAAAAGAACCAAGATGTGTTTTGTCCACGCACCAATTCCTCACGATGAATGTAATCACTACATACTGAAAACAAGCACCAATACAAGTATTCGATGAATATAGACTTAAATATACACAGATATCCAAAAGTGTCTGCTTCGGTTTCAACTGTGCTTCTTACATTTTTTACAATAATTGCAAAGTGGGATGTGTGCCTCCTGTAGAAGTTATCCCTCCCTCTGGGTGTCTAAGAAGTCCAGAGAAGGGCCGGGGTTGGTATTGCTCAGTGGTGATCCCTTGCCTAGTACACACGGCGCCCTGGGCTCCATCGCAGCAAAGCAAATAAAAACCACAGGTACAACATTTAAACAGGTTAGTGCAACTTAGAGAAACCCAGCTATTCTTTACTTTTTCTAATTAGCATTTTTTTCTATTGTCACACAGCCACCGGGTCCTTCAGTCTCCATTTCTTTTTCTCCCGTGAGAATCCGTATCATAGCACCAACTGCTTTTAAAGATATTCATGATACATAGAAACCTCTTTCTCTGCTATCATTAATCATGCCCATACCTTTGAGACCACCAGTTTTAATTAATAATAATTAATAATTATACAGTAAAAATGCAGCTACCATCTTTTTTGTAGCATTGGGAATTAAACCCCAGGCCTTTTCACTGAGCGACGACTGTAGCTCTTTTAACTTTGAATTTTTATTTTGAGGTAGGGTCTCTCTAAATTTCTAAGCTACCTAGGCTGGAATCAAACTTGTGTTCCTCCTACCTCAGCTAAACAGAGTACTACGATTACAGGGATGTGCCACCACCGTGCCTAATTTAACAACTTCTTTAACACAAGTGTAAGAATGGAATAGAAATTGACGTTAAGTTGGAACATGTGGCTGGCATGTTTTCTATTTTTCCCAGGAACTCATTTCATTTGTGCAACAAGAAACTCTGGGTGATCTAGAGAAAGTTTCAATGAAGAAAAATAAATTTTGAAATATTTAAATTTCTTAACCTTGCATAACCTCAAAAAATTTGTAACTACCATTAGTATTCTTGAAAGATGAACCATTTATTTAATATTTATTTATATACTTAACCTCTACAGAAACCCACTTTTCTTTGTATAAGGCCACCAAATTGAGGAAATAGAAACAAAAGACATTCTGTTTAACTTTTCAAGTAAACACAAACATACTTTTTTTTTTGCATGAACGTGTCTCATTCAACAGTGGCAATATGGTTCACTCTGCTGTTTATAAGACATTCCAATGGAAGTGGGCATCCTCTACTATGTAAAACCACTGTGTATTTGAAAAACATTGTAAAATGTGTAGAACATTTTTCACTTTGTGGTGATTGCAACAATATTTTCCACACTACTTCTAAGGACCACATTCAGAAAGACAGACAATTTAATAAAATAATGTGCAAAAATGTAATGATTTTTACTGATACCCAAAGCAGGAGTACAAGCAGTAAGCTGGGCTTAGTGGCACAGACCTGTTATCTCAGCACTTGGGAGGCTGAAACAAGAGGATCTCCATAAGTTTGCAGCCAGCCTGGGCTACATGGTGACCTCAATACCAGCCCAGAATACACAACAAGACCATGTCTCGTACAAAAGAAAGCAAAACAAGATGAAAAAAGAAGACAGGTGTAGTATTTCTCTACATAAGATGCTGTTTGTCTTTCTGCTTCATTATTTTATACTGCTGAAACTTATATTTTGTTCTTTTTGTTCCCCTTCTTTATGAACACTTTGTCTCTCTGTTTCCCTCTAGAAAATTAAAATTGAAAACATTCATGAATGCACATGAACACATAAATCATGAAGATGCCTTCCTTGTAAGTTGAGATGGTTAGATATTATCAGTACCCACAAATTCATGTCATGTAACACAGTTGGCATGTACAAATATCCACATCCCTCCATTCCTTCATTATCCATCTGTCTACTGCTTCACTGGATAGCACATTTTTCAACATTTCGAGTCATTCTTTCACTTTAAAAAAGAAAAACAATCCATGTGATTCAAAATGTAAGCTCAAAATATATAATTTTAGAGATGTTTAATTTTTAATTTATTTTCCAATTTTCACCTAAAAATATATTTCTTTCAAAACAATCTCCAAATATTTCAAAGATTCTCTCTTTTATCTATGGTGCACTGTTTAGATGCACAGTGGAACTCAGCATACCGTGTATGTGATATATTTCAAAATTATAGAAATGCCTGAAATGTACCTGGAACATCAAACATTGATTAAAATAATATTATTTACAATAAGTATAGAGATAGCAATTAACAAAGTATGTACTGTGGTTTTTTTTATAGTACTGGTAATTGAACACAGGGCCTTTACACTGAGCTGTGTACCCAGTCCATTTTTACATTTCTTGCTAAGTTTCTAAATTGCCCAGATGGGACCTCAACTTGCAATCCTCCTGACTCAGCCTCCTTGAGTGCTGGGATTACAGGAGTGCACCACTGCAGTGATTTTAACGAAAAGGAACAACAAAATTTAGAAATTTGTTTGAATATTTTTTGCCACTACAACATTGTAATAATCTAGTCCTTTGCTGGTTACGTTTCCTTGCATCCAGAAAGGGTCTGATTTCTTTGTAAGACACTGAATTCCTGTTGGGAAGCTAATTTTATGCACTGTCCCAAAATAGGATCATTAAAGGCATAATTTCTTTGAAGCTGTCCTCAAATGTCCCCTTAGGAGACACTGCCCTATTTTCTGCCAAGAGAAGCAAACTCAAACTCTTCAAATTGCCTTTTCAAATGGCAGCAATGACCTGCTATTTTAAATTAATTCTATATTTATATATTTCAATTTTAATATGTCCCTGGATTATTTTCTACTTATTTTTTTCTCAATTATATTTTTGTTCTTTCAAGCACCAAGCTCTTGAGTACATAGTTTCTATTGCCTTTAATATAAAAGATCCCCCACATCAGAAACAGAAACCTAAATAGGGCCTGGAGATGGAGCTCAGTGCTTCACCACCTGCCTAGCATGAATGAAGCCCTGGTTTCAATCCCGACCATAGAAACAAGCAAATAACTATGTAGATGATAGATAGTAGATAGATGCAATCATACATACATGGGTGTGTGGATAATAGACGGATGGATGGATAGATTGATGGATAGAGATAGACAGAAAAATGAATGGATACATACATATATACATACTTAGATACATAGATACATAAAGGGGTGGACAGATGGATAGATGGATGGATGGAAGGATGGATGGATGGATAGATGGATGGATGGATGGATGGATGGATTGGTGGATGGATGGATGGATGGATGGATGGATGGATGGATGGATTGGTGGATGGATGGTTGGATGGATGTTCAGACAGACATATAGATAGTTGTGTGGATAGCTAGATGGACAGATGAATGGACAGATCAATGAATAGATGATAGATAAATAGATAGATAGATAGATGAATTTTCCCATTAGCACTTTCAACATTTATTGTTGATTCTTAAAAGAAATCTATGTCAGACAAAAATCAGATGAGAAGAAAGAAGAAAACATCACTTGTAAACTAACCATAAAATCCATTGATGTTTTGTTTTATTTTTCACAAAATAAAAATTTGTAAATAGCTATTAGCCAGTAAGTGGAAAGAATAAAAGAGCATTCCATTAGCTAAAAAAAAAAAAAAGAAGAAGTATTTTTTCTCCTGGAATGTTGTGAAATCTGTGAAGTTGATATGGCACAATGGTGGCACCCATACTCCCAAACTTCTACCCTGGATATTTGCTTAAGACTTCTTATTCATTCCTATCGGGCAGTGAAATCTCTCTCTCCTTATTAAGTGTTTTGGGCAACTGGACCGCAGCACTCACATGATGGAAACAGATACATAATAAAGTCCTTGTCTGTTTCCTCTTCTTCTCATTGCTTCCTTCCCAGACCAGCCTACTGGAGAAGTAGAAGCCACGTATTCAAGTGTTCACTAATTTTCCCAGAGAACTGCCAGAGAATTGGTGAACACAAGTAATTCTGAGACACCCACCAGCCAACCTCCAATAGATATTAACAACAGATAACCAGAAAAAATAAAGATAAAAATTGAAAAGATCCTTGGACCACCCATGTATCTGTGGACCTTACAAGACATATTTATTTTGTTAGAATATTTATGGTGATAGTTCATTTTATATGTCAACTTAACTGAGGTAAGTGAGGCTCATGGCTGGTAGAACATTTTCTCTCAATGTGTCTCAGGTCTGGTATGGTTGCATACGATTGCTGTTATACTAGTCAGCTTTCCTATTGTTGAGACGCAATACCCAATGTTCACAATTTAAAGGAGTTTATTTGGTTCATGGTCTTATGGGTTCAGTCCATGGTTGACTGGCTCCAAGGCAGAAACATCATGGCAGAAGGACATGGTGGAGCAAAGATGCTTAGGTCATCTTGCCGGATAAATGAAGTAGGGAATAGTACCAAAGGGAGGGAAAGATGAGGGATCAGATACAGTCCCCAAGGTCACCTCCATGACCCACCCAGACACTCCCAGAAATGTGCTTTACTAATTCCCTGGGTAGATCCCAAAGCCCATCAATTTGACGTAATGGAAGTTGATGATAACAAGTATGACTTGCAAGCTATTGTAACCACATGAGACAATTCCTGTAATCAGCCGCATGATATATTTTGCTTTTCTTATCCAATTGGCTCTATTTTTCTAGAGAAAAACCATTAACAACACACTTGCTGACATACTTTTTGTATGAATAACCACAGTAAATATCCTCAAGTAGGTTTCCTCTTTTTTGTTGAGATATAATGACTATTTGTCTTTATGTTATTGTAATTTTATGCATGGAAGTGAGATGTTTCCTCTTAATTTTCAGCTTGATTGGTTAGACAGACACTTAGGAAAGTAGTAAAACACAATTCTGTGTGTGGCTGAGTGGATTATAGTAACTTTATGTTGATGACTATATTGGGTACCTGGCCACTTCTTGTCTGGCTCTTTACCTGTAGCCTGCTTCCTGGATGCCAAGATATAAGCATCTTTCTTCCACCACCCCCTTCCACCATGATGTTTTTACCATGGAGTCAGCTAACCATGGACTAAGACCTCTGAGACCATTGGAGCAGCTGACCATGGACTGAACCCTCTGAGACCATTGGAGCAGC